TAGTAATTCTGAATGTCATTTATCCTTTATAAAAAGGGTCGTGACAGAAATCAATATTTTCAGATTGAGAGTAATTGCAAGGAGACTGTCTTGTTAATTTTGAATATCCAATCTCATTACCATTTTTTTTTTTTGAGATGTTTAAGGAGATTAGAGATTTGTTAAAATATATTAAATTCATTAAAATTATACATGTGTGTAGAAAGATTAACCAATATGTTGATAGATTAGTTAAATTTAGTCTTGTAAAATCCTTGTATTTGTATCATTTTGAAGTGACGCCTCTCTTTTCTTTCATTTCCTAAATCTAGATGCTATTGACAAAAGCTTGGTAAAATTAAAATAATTTTAAAAATTTAGTATTATAAGTTGTATATGAGTATAGATATTTATAAAAAATTATATAAAATAGTTTTTTTTATAAATATAAACATAAATATTTACAGAAAATCTAAAAGTATGTACATAATAATAAGATAAATTTAAGTGACAAGTGTTATATTTAAAATTTAAAACAAAATTAATAAAAATATTACAATAAAGAAGAATGTAATTCATAAATTATTTTTATACAATTTTTAATTTTAAAAAATGTAAGGAACAAACTATAAAATAGAAAAACTCTATTTAATGCTCTACTTTTCAAAAAAAATTGAGAGAGGTTGGAGGCTGATACATTATCAGTCGAAGGGTCTCTTTGTTTGTTAAATCGACAACTGATTTATGAAAAATGTGGCTATAAATGAAAGGGACGTAAAAATGTGGTACAGTGATAGGAATAACATTATTGGCGATAAAATATTGAGATTGAGTTATTATTGATGAGCATCGATTTCAAGGGGTAAAAATATTGGGAGACAATCGTCACTGGATACGCCATCAACCTTCAATAAAATGACGTGCGTAAAATGTGGAGAGTATGTCCGAGATGATTTGTGGGCGCCATCCATTGGTATATATTTTAGTGCTTACGGTACCCACGATGTGGAAACTGGAAAGTCAAATTTTGCGTACAAAGAAAATTTAGATTGCGTGGTCCATTTGAACATTTTTTTTATACAACTATAGTTGTTGAGTATACTCCAGGTTGAGTACATGGTTTTAACTTTACATTGGGCGAGGCGAAAGTGATTGAATAGAAAAGATTATGCATTAAATTTACTGGAAAGAGGTGTTTTATTTGTTTCCATTATTTTCTTAATTGGAAAAGCAGATAACGGTTACCCATCAAGAAATTTAATCAACTAGTTAGCAAGGCCTTATCAACAACAGTAATTAGACTATCCATTATGCACCTAGCATTTCTTCGTTCAATAGTCAAAAGGTTTTTCTCGGTGTAAAGTTACACATTCATTGCACACACACCACACACTTGGGAGGCTCCATTATGGAAAAGATAATTCGGCACATAATAATTATTCACTCTAAAATGGGTAGAAAGAAGGGAGATACTAGAGAGAAAAATAAAGTTTGGAGAGGTTTTGTACAGAGAAAAAGGCACGTGCTCCATTTTTTTATTTAATATTTTTTGTTTTATTTTGTCATTTTATAAGCAGCTAAAACAAAACAAATAGCTAAAGACGTACGTGTTGAGTCCAAAACACATTTTCCATGGTACAATTAGCATCTACTTTAGACTGCTTGGATTCGTTGCTATCTACCCTTTTGGGTTTGATATCTTATTATTTAATGGCAGCTTCAAAATATATACCATTTTTTTTTTATTAAAGAATGAATATATTAATAAAATTAAATATTTTCTTTTAATAAAATTATTTTATTATATATTTTTTAAGTGCACGTTAATAAAAATATTTAAATCGTACAAAATTATGTGTGCTTACTTGGATTCCATCGTACCGGATCCAACAAGCCTCATTTGCCAGTGCTCCTTCGTCCTTGACTCCTTGTTGCCTCGAGGGACGTCGATGCTAAAAATATCTCCATCTTTAAAAATTTGATAGCAATGTGAGTAGAGTTCGTTGATTGTATAAATTTATAATATCGATATGTTTATAATACATTATATTTAATAAAAATTAAAATTAAGAATATAATTAAAAAAACTACTGTTTTAATTTTTAATATGATATATTATTAAATAAACTAAAGTATAAAAATTGTTCGTTGTTTAGTAAACATAATTTTTATATTTAAAGTTATGATTAAGTTATTTAATATATTTAAAATAAAATAAAAAGGTAAACATCGATATTTAAGACTTTTCAATTCTGAAAATTATTTATAATATTTAATAATAATTTATAATATCTCACCATGTCTGACGTTGATTGATAAAGCTAGGAGAAATTTTTTAATAAATATTTAATGTTGAAAGTAACAAATATAAATTTTTTTATATAAAGATTTCATAAGAATGTATCTTTAAATGATGAAGACATGTGATTATATGAATTATTTAATTAAATGATATCGTTCTCAAAATTGAAGAATTGGATTTGTTATATAATGGTGAATTAACATCTTTCTTAGTCCGAAAATGTTAACTTGGTAGTCAAATTCTGGGCACTAGTCTTTTTTCCCCATTCTAGTTGAAACTCTCAATTCATAAATGACAGTATTGAGATGTATGGATATTGACCGGGCCAACCATACGAGATATGACTTAATCACATGTTTATATTGTGTTTAGGCCATCAAATGACAATTTGTTTTTTTTTTTAAGCAAAACCTTGCTTGTCAAAATTATACAAAGTGAGATATTTCAATCATTTTAATTTTAAAGATCTTTTATTAATTTTGGACTTTGTAAAAAAAATATTTTTCATCTTTTTTATTTTCTAAAGTTTTTGTTTTATATTTTAAGAAGACTTAAAACGAATAATGTTTTATAAAGATAAAAAGACTACCTAAAAAAAAGCGACTACTTACTAACAGCCATATGCAGAGGGTTGAAACTAAATTGCAGTAACATTGTGAAGGTATATATGAAAGTGGAGAGTAACACAGGTAGGAAAATTAGAGTAAGAATATTAATGAAGCAGGGGTTGGAGTGGAGAGGAGAATGACAAGTGCCTAATAAGATAACACGAGGCACTGACCCCATAACGTGTTGTAGAACGGATAGGTGTAATTTAATGTTTGATGAGTGGGAAATTAATGTGATGGTGAACCGTGTGACACCAATTTATTTCTATTTAAAGAATAAAGAAACTCAAGGAAAACGTGTAGTGGAGCTGAGGCACTGAGACCAGACCCGCTATTCGAAAAACGACAGCTCCAGAACGTGTGGACGGCGATTATCATTCTCCTTCCCCCCACCACGTGGCCAGCGAATGCAGTTCGTGCAAATGGATAACGACGTCATCAGAACGTTGTCGTTTAGCTGCACCGTCCCTTCCTGTGAGTAAGACACGACTTGTCGGTACTCAGTACACTCCCCGTAAACACTGGTTCTGGCCGGTGCCAGGTGAGGGTTTTTTAAATGCTAAACAACATATTTTATATTCGTTCTTATTATAAAAATATATTTTAAATACACTAATTATTATTTTTTATATTTTTATTTATTATAAAATATGTATATATTAATTTATTTAATTTATAAGATATTAATTTGATCATTTAATACAATAAACATTTTAAAACAAAATATAAAATAATACCGTTGAAAATTTATTTATTAATTAACGTAAAAATTATACTTTTTATATTAATTATAACCACAAATATAAAAATATTTTACTTTTATATTAATTGTATTCATATTATTTTTTAATTAACATTAAGTATTATTTTTAATTGACGTTAAAAGTAATTTTTTTACTAGTATATTTTATATTTGATTTTCTTATATTGATCTCTTTTGTTTTATTAAATCTATAAAATAATTTATTAAAAAACTATTAAAATCTTCTAAAACATCTCTCATAAGAAGAATTATTTTGATCCTCAAAGAATATGGTTAGAGTTATTCTAAATTTCCTAATTTATGCCACCATATAGTGTGACTGTGCATATTTAAAATTACTTTGAAAGTTATAAGCATTGAAGTACGTATAAATATAATATATGATTAGTGAAACGTGAATTAAAATACGTATTTTGAAGCTTTCAATTTGCCTCTCTTCACAGTAGTTTATAATTTAAATATAAATCAAACTTAAGCAAATAACTAAGAAAAGCATCTGCTTAGTGATAAACGTGCGAGTTCATGCATGTACCTAGGTCCTATTCCTGGAAACAGAAAAACAGTATTCTATGCTAAGCTCGATGAATAAACTAGATCAGTTTAATAATCCATTGGTCGAATCCGAGGCTGTTCTGCCTGCTCACAATTTTGCTTGCACACTGACGTACCAATTAACCCCTCCAATTAGCCACGAGTGATTCTACGTTGTTCTCAATAAATATATGATTATGGATAAACCATCTCTTTGTAACCATTGATTTAATAACTTAAATAACGCGGGGTTTATATTTCACCTGGCAAACTGTAGAATGGGTCAAGATGCCATATTTTAAAAAATTGCAAGTCTCATAAGTTAAGTCTTTTGTAGAATATTTTTGCAAAACAATAACTCTAAAATAATATTATTTTATAATATAATTTTATGATAAAATTAATTAGTACTAAGTGTGAAAATTACACCACTTAATATTTTTTATAAAATATTAACGTATTTACATACTTATAAATTTAACTAAAAGAGATAATATAAAATATTTATGGACTAAATAATATAAGTATTTAATTTTATATTTACGACCTGGCTGTGGAAGGTAGCATCTAACTCGGAAGTGGAGTCCCACCGAAAATGAGAAATGACTACAAGGATGCCTCGTTACTTACCGTGTTAATGGGACAAAATAACACGGGAGCATCTCAGCATTTCATCATGGGATGTAGCTTCCCGGAATCTGTTGACCCAGTCGGTGACGCAATAGCGCGTCACCCACAACATCCGTGACGCACATCTGCGTAACTGCCGTTGACGTTACAGTCTCCCTCTTTTCATAAATTTCCACCTCTACCCTCCACTAATCCTCCCTCTCCCCACTCTCTCTCGCTCTCGCTCTCTCTCTCTCTCTCCGGTTACCAAATACCATGCACCAAGCAATTCCCTACCGGACCTACCTCCCAACCGCCACACGTGATTCACGTGACCTCCCACTCGCCGGAGACATCCCCGAAGCCAATGGCGTCGATCCACCCAACGTCGCCAAAATGGTTTCGGAGAGCGCCGTCATAATCATTGGGAGACGGGGTTGCTGCATGTGCCACGTTGTCAAAAGCTTGTTACAGGGTCTTGGAGTCAACCCTCCCGTCTACGAGGTCGACGACCACCACGAAGCTGCCGTCGCCTCCCACCTCTCCGCCCACGACGCCCAAACTGTGCAGTTTCCGGCGGTGTTCGTCGGCGGTAAATTGTTCGGAGGGTTGGAAAGAGTGATGGCCACTCATATCTCAGGTGAATTGGTTCCTATCTTAAAGGATGCTGGTGCCTTGTGGCTCTGACTTTTATATGCTCTTTTTCCTTTTTTTTTTCCTTTTTCAAGAGAAATTAATTTTAGCAATTTTTTCTTAGGTTTCCTTCTTTGCGTTTCATGTAGCTCTCTTGTTTGGGCATGAGAAACTCCGTTGTGTTGAACAGCCCGAAATAGAGATTTTGTACATTATTATGTTTCAATTAGTTGATGTGGACGTGCAATTAAGTTCATATTTGGATCTGAAGAATATTCTGTTGCAGAACCATCTTCTACTTGTGCTTCTTGCAGCATCTTCTTGATTGATTGTGAAGAGAAAACAATATGCTACAATTTTTGTATAGAAATTATCAACATGGTTGAGGTTCTTTTAAGGTCAAATATAAATTTGCCCCGGCAAGATTGAGAAAAAAACACTTGAGAGACAATTGGAGATTATGCTATCGAAATATGGAACTTTCTCATTTAAAAACTTTTATGATATTAACATGAATTAGATGTAATTGATTTGCGTTAGTTGATTTTATGACTTAAATAGGTTGTTTTTATGTTATAGATTTTATTTGATTTGTAAAATTTGATTTGTGAAATTAGAAACAAGGTACACAGATTTCCTCGTCTCTTATTATTTGTTTTGTTTTAAAGATCTTTTTACTTGTGTTGAAAGGGTGGAAAGAGGGGTTCCATACGTACACATTATGCTTCATTTTGTAATTGATGAGGACAAGTTCATCTTGGATTTGAAGAATCACTTGGAAAACGATGTTCTATTTATGTTTTTGGAAAATGTCTCCTCTCCATTAATGGACTGTTGAGTTTCACGTTATAGTTGTTAGGAATAGATATATAGAAACCCAGACCAAGTCAAGCATTCCCACAGTTGCAAAGAAAATCCACAAAATTCCTTCTTCTTTTATTTATTCATTGGTTCATTTTATTAATTGTTTTGGAGAGTGGACTGATATTTGTCTTGCCGACTGTTGTACGATTAAGAAAAAGATGCTGATAACCATAATCTTTAAATTAAAGAATTACAAATAAAGTGTTTTTTTTATTATAAATTATGTTGAGATGTAATCAAAATTATAAAGAAAGTACATTTATAAATTTTTTTAAAATTATTTTTATTTCTTTAATTGGCGAATTTCTTCAGAAAACTTGTTAACACTAGGCCGATTTTAAACATCCAATCTACATATAATAAGATTTTATTTTAAAAAGGTATGTATTAAAAATATGAAGTATAATAAATGTTTTTAATAAAAAATATTTTTTTACATATTTAAAATTAACACTGAAAAATGATAGTCACAAAGCTGTCAAAAATCATAAAGCTGAAGTTTATAGTTATCAATTTATTGCTTTATTTTTTATCCTATGTTTAAAGTTATAGCTGATTGATTGAGAAATGTAATTAATATTTTTCCTCAATTTTTTTAACAACTTTTTTTTATTAAAAGAATGTTAACAATTTTTTAAAGTTATTAGTAAATAAATTAAATTAAAACATTATTAACGTACTTTGTTGTGTTTTTTTAGTTTAATCACATCACTTTTTTATCAATAAATTTTGTGTTACTGGTGTTTAAAGGGTAGTTGATGTAAATTTTTAATATGCATTTTTTATTTTGACATTTTTATATATCATCATTTCTCTTATTCTTTCTTGAATATGGTATAATTCATTAGAATAATAACTAATACTATTTTAAGATGGCTGATAAATAGAAAATGCATATTTCTAAAATAATAGATAAAAATTTGAGAAAATATTATCAAATTTATTCAATAGAACTACTGAAATTAAAGAGAAATTACACAAAGTAACGTTTTAAGAGCTAAACTAAGTCAATAAACAGATAACGATACTTATTCACAGTACAATAGTTTGATCATATATGATTGAATCGATATCATTAAATACACATTTTTAATATTATGTATTATGTTGAATAATAAATTAACATAAAATATTTAAAAAAGAAGAAAAATTAAATATAAAAAAATAACAATTATCACATTATATGTTCTATACAACAAGAAATCAGCGATAAAAATAAATAAATAAAAAATGATGTAAATGGATCTTCAGAACTTGTCACTAGACTTTTATTTTATTTTTCAAAAAAGAAAATAAAAAAATAGAAATTTGAAATTAACTGATGTTAACCGGTTTTTCACTCTTCCAATTTTGCGATTAGACAATTTTGAGGAGTTTAAAATATATTTAATTTTTTTAAAAAATAAAAACTATGTATTATCGACAATATTTTGTTAAATTATTGTTTTTGTTATTTTTTTTAAAATAACAAATATTATATTACTTGAAATGCTAGGTTTTATTTTTTTTTTACTCAATAGTACCACTTTCGCCCCATATATTGCCCACCATGCTGACATTAAATATGAGAATGCCACAGTCACTTAAACTGATAAAAAACTTATTTAGGCTTATTAAAATATTAATATTTTTTTAGAATTTTTTATTTTAATAATATTTATAATAAAATCTATGACTGAAGTTTTTACATCATAAGAACTTATTAAATATATAATTAATTTATATATTTAATTTAATAACTTAAATATATAATTAATCCAGATAAATATAACACATTTTTAATAAATTTTTATAATTTTTTTTAGATTTAGTATGTAAAATATTAAAAAAATTAAAATTTAATTCCTGTCAATTTTTTTCTGTCAAATAACAAATTGGTTGAGAAAAAATAAAGTAGCATGTCATATAATTTAAATTTATAATATTTTATTATTTAAAATTAATATTGATAAATAAATTTTGATACACATTTTAAAAATTTAAAGAAGAGTCTATTCTTCTTCCTTTGTCCTACCTCCAACTCCTTTTCCTCTCCTTTCCAAGTAAAATATCTATCATGATCCCCTAGATATTGGAAATTAACCCTCTGGACTTCAAATGGCCCAACTCTTTAGCACCTTGTTCAAAGAATCAGCTTTCAATATTGGATAACCTTGCTGCTACTGACTCCTTTAAATTTCTGACTGATATTATATCCACTGAAATAAAATTATCTAAATATTGTGAAAAGTGTCTTGGTCACAGAAGAGGCCAATGTCAACTTGACAGTAAAGAAAAATTCTACTACGCCAGCATGATACTTGGAATTAGCCAAAGGTAGGCGATCTACGAAGGTTGGGTTGGGTAAAATCAGAAAACAAAATAAGCAGTTGCCCTGTACCCACGTCTTCCGATTCTCCCACAAGAAATCTTGACAATTGTTTTCGTTTCAAATAATTTTAATCAAAACAGTTGCTAACTCTTCTCTAACTTGTGCTGGGAGTAAAACTAGAAGCTGGATTGTGAAAATGGTACTAGGACTCAAGACTAGGTAATGTATTTAGATTGATTAATTTCCATGTCTTTTCCAGCATGAATGGCTCAGGTTCTGCATTGCAAAGTCTTCAACTTAAAAATGTAATTTTAAAGTTGGGCGTTATGAAATTCAAGCATTAATAAATGGAGCAAAACATAAGCAATGTAAGATCAAAATTGGCAACCTAGTTGCCAAGTTCAGGCTTGCTTATATCTTTGCTTAACAGATTTTGCTTGCGATCATTACTTGTTGCTTTTAAATTATTTAGCCAGAAAGATACTTGATGTTTATTCTATTTTTCTGTGTAGCATTACTTTCTCATCCTTCTAAATTTATCGTTCTAATTTGAATAATCTCTCCAAACTTTTACAGTTGCTCTATTACTAGTAATGGTCACCATCTACCATACAAGATGGAAAAAGTAAAATCCAACCAATCAACGAATTGAGTTATTTTTGGAAAGATATGGACGTCCCCCTTCAATCCAAGAGATATGGTTATTCTGAGATAAACAAAGTAATTAGGCCAACGGGTAGTGTTTACAAAGGACAATTACACGATGGACTGCAGTGGAAGGTAACGGGAAAGGAGAAAGCTACAGACTTTAGGCAAATATTTAAAATATATTTAAACATTTATAAAATTAATTTTATATAAAATTAAATAACATAATAGGATTAATTCTTAGTCTGTCAACTCAGCATTTAATATTAACTTAAAAAATTAAATTTTAACTTTATAACATTTCAAAGAATAATTTTAACAAAAAAAAAATTATAAGAATTTAATCGTAAAATATGTTATATTTATATATATTTAAGTTTAATTTAATTTAGTTTTGATAAATAATTTTTTTACTAATCTATTTACTGAAACACACTGACGCAGAAACACTGTTAAATTATTTTTTTTTTACACTAAGCACTTAATCTGATACGTAGACTGTAAATCAGATGTGATAAGTCTTAAAAAAATGTTTTTATAGTAGCCTTTTAAAATTATATCTTTAAAGTTTTTATAAACATATATAATTATTATAATTTTTAACTGAGAAAATACTCTTGCTGAAAAAGTAAATAAACGGGTTATATGGCACTATTTATTTTAAAAGCATTGTAATAACTATAATTTTATAAATACTAAGTTAATTAGCGTGAATACCTATAAACGAAATGACTGCGAGGGGTAACGACTTAACGGACCGTAATAACAAGGATAGGGTCAGAACGGTTATTTCAAAGTTTCCCTCCCCAATTTTAAACGGCTCTCTGCTTTCTGGGTATTTCAACGCAAGTTAGGGAACCAAAGAAGGAAGAAGATGATCAGGTTTTTCAGTAGAGGAAAGGACAATCCCGTCGATGACTCACCGGCTACATCGCCCTATTCGCCTCCCGTGACCGGGCCGGCGAGGCCAATACGCCTCGTCTATTGTGATGAGAAGGGACGGTTCCGCATGGACCCTGAAGCCGTTGCCGCGCTTCAACTTGTGAAGGAACCTGTCGGCGTGGTCTCTGTCTGCGGACGCTCTCGCCAAGGGAAGAGTTTCATTTTGAACCAGGTGATTATTCAATTGAAGTGAATGAATGCTTTATGCTTCTTGTTTTGAAGTTTAGGGTTTTAATAGCTTTTAATTTGTAGGCATTATTCGTTAGGATTGTCGAAGGGTGTTCCGTGCTGTTAGAGACGCCGAATATTTTAAATGACTAGGGTTTTGATGCATGGATGGTGATTTACGAGAGGTTTTTAGGTTAATTTTTGTGTTTATGCCCATACATCGTTTTTTGTTACTACGTAATCGATGATTAGATTGGGGACCTTCTAGTCTAGTAAAACATAGTGGATAGTGGATTTGGGATTTTGAGCGTGTGCATGTGAAATTTGTTTGATTATTCATGTGCAACGAG